ATTTCAATCCAATCTAATTTACATCAAATCTAGATATATATAACATAAATGGATATTCATCAAAATATTCATAATAGTTAGATGTATAATAAAATATTAAGAAATGAGAGCACATATAACCTATACTGTTGGCAAATTAAGACAAACAGTTATAAAATATAAGGTAACAGTATAATGTAAAGATCCTATTAATATAAAATAGTTATAATTTTTAATAGTATTTATCTTTTATATATTAAATGAATGACTAAAGGTTATCAAATTCAGTTGATTTGTTTATAAAATAATAACCGTGTGCTATGTATATTGAGAAATGAGTAGACATTCTTCACTTTTTTATTTTATGCAATGAATTGAATGTTTATTTATTAGAATTTAAACGTTTATGTATAAAAGAGATATTTAAATATTATAAAATAAAGTTCTTGCAAAAAAAGAGAAAATAGATAAAAAATAATATTAAATTATAATTAAAAAATATTAAATGAATCTATCCTCTAAGCATCAAAAGCTAAAGACTATTGTTTTCAACTATATTTTGTTGAAATAAATAAAGGTAAGAAAAAAATTTTCAAACGTAAAAAATAACGTAGTTTTGACTTAAGGTATACAAAAAATAATTAATTCAATTGAGAATGATAGATGTCAATCAATTGACTCAATCAATCATCTTACTTGTGTATGTATTATAAATATGGTATTGACACGAATTAATATGAATAGTGAAAATATCTCATGATCATGTTATAATACTATGTTTACTATTACATATTAGTATATCGTATAGTATCCTATGATACTATTATAAAATCTTATTTTACTCAAAATAAAAATATAATAATTTAATTAAATATTATAAAAAATTAAAAAAATAAATTTTTTTAAGTATTTCACCCATATATCATTAACTAATGATAGCAGTTATTTAAATCTCTCATTTTTATCCAAACTTTTTCTACTCTTTTGCCATCAAAACCATACAAAGACCTTTTGTCTTTGGGCGACGAGAGTATAAATAAACTAATTGCTAGTACAAAATTTAAGCAATTTGGCCGATTCATTAATCAATGAAGAATATATAAAAGGAAGAACCTATGACGATAGAAAGATAAAAGGACCTAAAAGTTTAAAATCACGAGTAAAAAGAAAAAGGGTACCAATCCTTGTTTTGCCAGTCGTTACTCCCAAAATTATCAAGCATTTTCCCCCGAACAAGCCTTTCCATTTTGTGCAGAATTCCAAATAGGCGCAATAAAACAAAAATATTTTTCGATTGCCACCATCACATTAAATAATTATTAAGAAGGAAATAAAACTTATACTAAATATTTAAATAAGTCCTTGATCTATGTCAAAACAGTCAATTAAATTTTTATCTTTTTATTACATTCAATTAAATCTCTAAATTTTTATTTTGAGTCAAATAAGCTGCTTTTACTAACTATTGATTAACAGAAGTTAATCAAAAGTACAATTGATACTTTTATATTATGTCATCTGCTACATGGTAAGTTGATGTATCATGCTGATAATGTTGGTACCATGTGGCATTAAATGTTACTAATTAGAAATGGTGTGTTTATGATTTTCCCCAACGACATGTTTAAAAATAATTGACTTCAACATTTTCAAAAAAATCAAATTACTTTCCTCCTTACTCTAATAGAATAAATGTTTTGAATTTTTACAAACTAAATCATTTGATTTAGGGTTTAAACCAAAACTTACTAAGTTATCTTAAAGATCAAAAATCAAATAAATCTTCCAATCGATTGAAGCCATTCTAAGCCTTGGCTAATGGAATACTTCAAGCAATGCTTAATGGTGAACTCCTTCATGTTAGGCTAATGGAATATGAAGTTACATTTTTTTTTAATATAAAGTCACTTAAATAGTATCTCGAGGGGAAACTTTATCTCTTCATGTTTGCTTTCTTTTTGCAAAGAAGAAACCAGAAAATTATTGGAAGAAAAGAAAAGAATTACGTGAGCATCTTGAATAGAGAGTTGAACCCCACTAGGTGACATGGTTATGAAGATTTAACGATTTTTGTTTCAGGCTAGTCTCTCTTTGAACAAGAGATAAAGCATCCTTTTGTCAATTCTTTAATCTTCAACAATCTCTCAACTTGGTTGCCAACGCAATTTGGTGCCCTTTTGATGGAAAGCGTGCAAGAGTCATGGAGTTATTTGAAGGATTAGAATGGCTTAAAGGATTTTTTGTCTTTAAGGATTCTAGTCTCTAAGATAATTAAGTTTTGGGTTAAACCCTAAATCAAACGTTTATTCTATCAAATTACGAAAAAAATAATTATTTTTTTTATTTTTTTATTTTAAATCCTTAAGTCAATTATTTTTGGACATATAGTTGAGCAAAAAGTTAAATATAAAATTACTTATCAACAACATTTAATGTCACATCATCTGTCACATGGCAACGATGTAATTATCAAAATAGCACGTCATCTTATCACGTGGCAAATGACATAATATAAAAAATCAATTAAATCATTAACTAACAAAAGTTAGTTAACAATTATTAAAAATGGCTTATTTAACTTAAAATAAAAGTTTAAGGAATAGTGATGTAATTATCAAACAACATGTCAACTTGCAGCATGGAAGAAGACATGGCATAAAAGTGTCAATTGAACTATTGACTAATGGAAGTTAATCAATAGTTAGTAAAAATGATTTATTTGACTCAAAATAAAAATTTAAAGGGCAGTAATGTGATCATCAAAATAACACTTCAATTTGTCATGTGGAAGATGATGTGGCATAAAAGTGTAACTTACGAAAGTTAGTTAATAGTTAGTGAAAGAGGCTTATTTGATTCAAAATAAAAATTCCAGAGTTTAATTGAATGTAAAAAAAAATAATAGCTCAATTAACTTAGGGGCATTTTAAAAAATAACCCCTAAAGATAAGATATTTTTAAAAATAACTCTCGTTATAATTTTAACTATTTTTTGTCAAGTTGGACAAAATTACTTGTAATGAAATTATACGCCATGGTTAGGTTATTACATGCCATGTATGAAAATATATTACATATCATGGTTAGGTTGTTACACACCATGGTTAAGTTGTTATACATCATGTATAAAAAAATGTTGCATGTCATTGTTAAAAAAAGTTGTTACACACCATATTGAAAAAAATATTGTTGTTACATGCTATGTACAAAAATATGTTATACGCCATGTTGAAAAAATATTATTGTTATACGCCACATTCAAAAATAATTTGTTGCATTTTAATACCTAAAATATTGTTGTTACTTACAAACTAAAATTTCAAATCCTCTCAACTCTCTTCATTTCATTTTTTTTTTTGACAATTTGGCACCAATTAAAGTGTTTCTAATACGTTTCATAAATCAAAACATAAATTTTCATATCTAAAACACCTATTCCGACTAAAAATCGAAAATTTTTCTTTAAAAACCTAGGTTTATAAATTTTAAAATTTTGAGTTTATTGGTATCTAGATTCCAAATTGATCCAATTAAAAACTATTTCAAACATCTGTGATCATTTCTACCATTTTAGTTTTATCCAAAATACCTAAAAATCAAATTTCCTAAATAGCCACCTATCCCAAGTACATCAAAACCATTGCTTGGTATTTTAAAAGCATAGGAAAGAGAAATTTGAAAGTGCGAGAGAGAGAGAGAAATAGGGAGCATAACAGATGAATGTCGAAAAGAGAAATCGATAAAATTAAAGAAGTTGAATGGTGAGAGAGAGAAATCGAAAACACAAATGGAGAGAAATTGTGATGAATGGTTTAATTTATTTGAAATAGTTTTAAGGGTATTTTTATCAAGTTATGACTAAATATGACTAAAAATAATTAAATTTATTTTGATGGTTAATTTTTAACATGCCCTTATAAAAGATGGTTATTCTTCACAATTTCCTCATTAACTTTTTGGACATAGTTTTATTGGAAAATTTAACCTAAAACTTATTGTTTGGGGTAAAGGATATTACCTTTACCATTTTACTTTTTTATTTTAATTTAATCTCTTTTTAGATTTCCATCTATCTATAGAAAAACTTGTCAACATCCACTATGACAAAAATGATGGATTTGTCATTGAATTCGCCAATTCGGTAGAAATACCTGTTATTATAATAGAAATTTAATCATGCAATATTTATTATTTGTTAATTAAATTTGGTTAAATAATGTTCAAATTTAGGATTTGTTTTTGTTTATTGCAATTTTTGTAAGAATTGTTGTTTAAATAGAGTGGTTTGTAAAAGAACTGTAAAGAAAAATTAAGATAAGTTTTAACAAATTTAATCAAAAGTATTGAAAGATGTAAAAAATTACTTTGATAATAATTTGATATATTTTTTATTAATAAAAAATTGAATTTTATTAATCAAATCATAAATTTTAAAATAGAAATAAATAAAACATTTTTTATTTGATATAAAAATAAATAAAATCAAGAAAAATAATTGGATCAACTGAAAAATCAATGTGAAAAAAGCATAATTCTTCATATAATATTATGAATGATTGAAAAATAAAATGAGGATGTAAAATAATTCCATTAAATATTTTGTCATTAAAAATTAGCACTTGTAAAGACCATTTGATTTATAACTTCATTTTAAAGTTTAAATAAGTTTATCGTATAAATTAAAACTTTTTAAATTTTAAAATAAATATCTTACTTTTTCTTTTATAATTGAAAAGCTGTTTTACAAATCAAAACAAACATCCACTTAGTTTTTGACATTCGAAACCGCATTTTCTCCTCATCCCAAAAAAAAAAAAATGAAAATCTAAATGGATGGTATGTTAAAAGTTGAAGGATGAAACAGTTATTTAGTACCCTTCTATATTTGCTTCCCAGTAATTATTTATGATCATTATGGCAAACGGCAAATATTTTTGTTCCATTATCCCATTTCAGAATTTCCCCGTCTACTTTAATTTATTTCAAACCTCCTTTGTCTTTTTTTAAAGAAGACAGAGAAAAGGGTTTTATGAATTAATCGGACGTCCCATTTTCTCATCAATAGAATCGGACGTCTAATATTGATGTAGACCATACAATATCAACCACACTGTAATATCTCCTGTAACAGCGCCATTCTTCCTCACATCGACCTCCGTTCCTTTTCTCCATTCCTCTACGATGCCAAAAAAGTAATCTGATTCTCTCTTTCAAAACCCTAAAAATTTTTAGAGCAGATTTATTTTTTGTAACACAGTCCCGTTTAAGATCACCTGTTAAGTGAAGTGCAAAATCTCCGACAAGAGAACAGTTAATTTTTCGCCATTGAGGTGTTTTAGGGCTTTTGTTTTTAAGCGATGTTCTTTTTTCTTTTGGAAGGACGATGATAAGCTTCATTTTTGTCGGTCCTTCAAAAGTCAAAAAAGAAAGAGCTGATTAAGCCAGATTAACTAGTCTAGGGTTTCTTCATGGCAGAAGATTCGCGGGGCCGTGTTACCATCACTCTCGGTCGTCGCGGCCAGGTATTTGTTTTACTTGTTTTCCTCTTAAATCATTTTTTGGTTTGTTTTTCATAGTAATTAGTGATGTTGGTTGCGTATTTGTTGCCGTTGCTGATAAAATGTAGGAAATACGTTGGAAATTAGTAGGAAATTTATGTTCTGCTATAAATTGTATTTACTATTTTACTTCAATTTTGAACGATTTAGTTTACGATGGTTGGGTTTTATTCATTTCTTCTTTAAATTACTTGACCTTTTTTTTTTTTAAAGTCAGTGTAGTTTCTTTTTAAATTTTTTTTGGTGTGTTTTTGGTCGGCTTGTTTGTAAAGCTGAACTTTATTCATTTTGTTGCTGTAGGTGGTGAAGAGGGCAGGACCTGCATCAGATGTTGATTTTTCTGATTCTCTGCCTGTTGCTGGAAGTAAGCGGTCTGTAAGAGATAGGTTAGGAAGCAATGTAGATGGTTCCTTGTTGCGTGCAAACCAGCTCAACAACAAAAGGTATGTTTTTAGGATTTATATTGTTGTTTTCTTAGCATTTTGAATTCTTGCTTTGCAATGTTGGTGCTTGTGCTATGGCTACTTAAGTAAATATTCTGAAGTTCCTGGTCGATGATGGTGATGATGCTGTTGTCATATTCATGTCTTGTGGAGCTTGCAAAATAGACCCATTAGTTTAGGGTATTTGTTTCATTGTAAGGGTAGTTTGCTGTTACTACAGATTGCCTGGACTTGAGAAGTGACGTTGGATGTGTGTGTGTTTAAATTTTTTCTGAGCTTTTCCTAAAGTTTGGAGGTCAGGAAGGCATGCCTGTTTCCATTTTGAGTGTTGGATATGCGCTCGACAAGGATACTATAGGGAAAATAAAGAGTTGGTGAAACATTGACCATGAGAGCTAATACTTTGCCCTAGCATTGGTGTTTACATTCTATGTGAATAAAATATTACCCTATTAGTTTATTAATGAAGTTTACTTATGTAAATAGTTACGGTGCTGTTTTCCTTTTCTGCAGACAAAGAGGGGATGGTCATACACCAAGCTTGAACACTAATGGTTTGAATGGTAACAAGCATACACCTCAAGTTTGCAATATCTTTTATATTTTCTGATTTCTGGACTTATTATGAGATTACTAATATTGCTTCTTTTGAATAAATAAAGATGTTCACATTGGTAAAGATGACCTTCGCTTGAAACTCATGCAAAAAAATGTGTTTAGACGGGCTCAGAGTGATGATAACCAGAAGGTCATGGACCTCCGTGAAAAGTTGTCAAGAATGGGACAGCCTCCACTTAACAGTTATGAGGCACGGCAGCGAATGCCTGGTTTGAGGGAGCGAATGACTCACCCTAGGGAGCAAATGCCTGAACCAAGGGAGCGAATGCCTGAATCGAGGGAAACCAGTATCTTGGGCGGTATTCCTTCCACAAGAAGTGCTGATGATTTGCCTCGCATGACCTCATCAAGAAATTCTTATTCTCCTTGGACCTTAGATCATTTAAGACAACGATCACCAGACAGAGTAATGGGTGTTTCTAGGGGTTTATCTCCCCCAAGAAATGCTGCAGAGCTACAGAGAAGGCCACTGAACAGGACATATGACGATGTGAGAGCTGTTCCATACATGGGCAAAGATGTTCTTGATGCTCCAAGGCCTCTGAGTACAGCATCTTTTGTTACAAAGTCCACAGTGCCTACCACTTCAGCAAAGCCTATGCCACCAGGTCACCCAATTCCTCCTCCAAGCAGCATTGTACAAAAAAGTTCATACTCTGTACGTACTATCTGCTGTCTACTTTGCATTCTACTAGTGAGGGGTGCTATGAACATGTTTTGCATCTATCTTTTTAACAGTATTTTTTTGTGAACATCAGCTGCTTATGTTCGCCAGTTGAATTTGTTCTTTTACCATATAACTCGTGGCATCCTTTGTGTGATAATTTTGTCATGTTTGCGGTTAAATCAATAAAAAAAACTGTGTTATGTCATTCTCCTACTACTATGCTTGGAAAGCCAAGACCTATCCTAAAAATTTTCTCTATATAGTAACATGTCTAGATCTTTCTGTCTATTTGTTTTGTTGTCAACCATTTCTAGTTGGTACAGGATAATATGCTGTTCAAAAAGTTTTAAGAAACCATTATCTTTCTGTTGGTTTACAAATTAGGTTTTGAAAACTAAATAAACATTAAACTTTAAGGTATTTGACATGCTCATCCTTGACCTTATTCTATGAAGTGTCTGATATTGTTGGTAGCTATTAGTCTGGTTGCATCTGGTTCTGGACAAGTGACAGGGGAGGGCACTTTGAGTCTGTATGTTAATGTGCCTAAGTTTTTGATTCTTACATCCAAGGAATTTCAAGAAGTAGGTGCTACATGTTCTTTAAGAATCCCCTTCAAACCCACCCCTTGTCACTACCTCTCTCTGTCCCACACACAGAGAATCTTCTCCTCTATGAAGGCATTATCATTTTTAACTTTTGCGAATCAACTCTGAATCCTAATAATTCCTGCACTTTCTTTTATGCCTCTGTACCATTACTTTTTGCTTTTTTTGCTAACCTTTCCACTCCTTGGTTCTAACCATATTTTTGCAGAACTTCTGACTCTGTTTTGTATGAAGTGTTAAATACTAGTTGCTTTACAGTCTGTGGATAAATAACTAGTCATGATGTGATCCCAAAGACATATTTTAGAAAGTTATAAAGTTTTATGCATACAGTGATCCATAAGATCCAGTGTTTAAGGTGCATTTTCTTACCTTTTTCCTTTTTGGCTGGTTGCTAAGTAGGGAGATGAACAACAAACTGTTGAAGGCTTGCTACATTCACTGGGGTTGGGAAAATATGTCATCCTTTTCAAGGCAGAGGAAGTAAGTAATCAAGTTCTTTAGTTAAATTCCCCGAGTAAGGATTAATATTTTTTTTTTGAAATAAAAAAGTTGTTCATGAGATGCTGGGGAAGAATAGTCAGTAAAGAAAGAAGATGCATTTACATTAATATGTTATTCTTAAGAGTAGTTTGTCACTTTATCTTTGTTTTCTTGTGTTACTTCTGTACGTTTAAATAAGGCCCTGGCTACAAGCTGTGTTTCAGAAGTTTGGGACTATTGGTGCAATGCAAGGTCTTAGAAATCTTTTTTCAGCTTCACCTAATGCAGATAGTTGTTGATTTTTCTGATTGGAAAAAAATATTATAGCATCAATAGTGATTTGGTTAAACATCTCTTTGAGGTTTGGTTGTCTAGCTTGGTTCTGCCCTGTTTGTGGTTAATGTAAAGATATTTTTGCTCATATATGTGTAAGTGGTAATAAACATACAACTTTTGCAGAAGTGAAGATTAAAATGTATGTTTGATGTCCCTAAATTGGAACCCCAGTGATTAGATCTAGAGACATTCAACATGGAACTCTCATATTTGAACCTTAAAATTGGGTGGGGAGGGGGGGGAGGGGGGGGGGGCTGTCAGAGTTTATGGGAAGAAAAGGGATACCTCTTGTTTTGTAGCCTTAAGCTCAATAAATTTCCTCTTGTAATAAATAATATTAATAAAATAAGACATGGATGTTTCATGAACAAAAGCAACCCTTGTTTCTCTCCCATGCCAATTGGCGCCCATCTCCGTAGAATGGCAAAAGGGATGGGGTTTTTTTTTTTTTTTTTGGAAAAGCAATTTTATTGGCCTTTCAACCGGCATGCCATTTGATGTTAAGTAATAGAAAGATAATGATGTTTTTATGCAGGTATTGTGTTTGTTGTTGTAGGAAATTTTTATTCGATAATTAAATAGGGAATATTACCACTAGTATTTTCTTGTAGCTCTAGTAGTTTCCAATTGATACTTGGCTTGTGTTACAAAGCCGCAGGCATGTCCATCATCTTATGTGATTTTACTTAAAATAAAATATTGACTTGAAAAATGTTGGATATGGTCATTATGCCTAAAATGACTGACATTAGCATGTTTCAAATGGTTGCAAATATTGGTAATGTTGTTAAAAAAGTATCTTCAAGAAGCATTTATTGACTGATGTTTGCAAATAGATTGAACATAAAGAAATTTCCTAGATGGAGGTGGTTGCTTTAGCTTTTCTATCAGACAAATCTTGAAGATTTACTTTACTCTGTATTTACGTTGTTGAAATCCGAGGGATTTATATTATGATGTTCATTGGAGAATTGCTTGTTGGTTTGTTTTATCTGCACTCTCCTTGTTTGGCTGATCTGGAGATTTGATGTTTTACTCAGGTGGATATGACTGCATTGAAACAGATGGGGGAAAATGACCTTAAAGAGCTAGGAATACCTATGGTATTGTACCCTTTTTTTCTGTATTTGTATTGTTTATTGTCAAAATTTTCTGTTCTAATTTTCATGATTGATGTGTCCAAACTAATAACTGATGCTTAACTCAGATCTGATGAGGTAGATTCTCAAAGTTGAATTTTTCAAGCATGTCTATATAATTCTTATATTTTCTTAATTAGACATCATCAGTTCTGAAAACATTTGTGTTAAAGTAATCTTTATCATGTGCATGCAACTGGGACTGATTTGAGTGCCTAAGTACAATATGCTTTATCTGTGTCTGTGGGCCTCAATTTCTTTTACATGGAATTTGGGTTACCTGTTGCCTAAGCCAAATTCACTCGAACTCAAGGCTCTCATGTAGTTCTGTGCCTTTGTTCATTAACTGTTCTGGCTAATTGGTGGCTTGAGAAGTAAAGCTTGCTATGAAGTTGATTAGATGGATTATAGTTGCTAAGTTTCAGTAAGCACTATGTACTAGGAAATCATGGATTTTCCTTGCTGCTAAGTTCTAGTTAAAGTTACGGCTGACTGCCGAGTAACCTGCCACCTAATTGTTTGACTTTTGAGGGGCTGCAGTATCCAGCTGCTAATCAAGGTGCAGATGACAACATTTGCAGTATGCCTCTTGCTCCACATGAATTTTATGGGATTTGTAGTAAAATGGGCTGTGATCAGAGTGTTTTCTAGAATCAAATCCTGCCAATAAAAAAAAAATCTATCATGATCATTATTCATTTGAATGTAGTTTGGTAAGGTTCCTCTGGTCTCATCATCATCCTCTCTTGCTGTCCTGTGTGTGTGTGTGCAAAATGTTATCTTAAGGTATAGCTGTTGTAATTTACATAACATGCCAAGTTGTCCCTAATGAAGGTGGTTTGAATTGCAGGGCCCTAGGAAAAAGATTCTTCTTGCTCTTTTGTCCCGTACCAAAAGGCAACCATGATTATTTGTTCATTTCGTATGATGTGGTGCTCATGTTAGTGAATCCTGTCTAAGTAAAACCATTGTATCTCTCTTTTTGGGTTAGAAAGTGACCCATAAATCAGTTGTCACGTTTTTGAATCTAATGCTGATTAATATTCATAGATGGTGGAAAGAAATTTTGAGTTGTTTTTGATTTCATGTTACCTGCTTTTAATTCTTTCCAGCCAGAACCATATGGGTGTGTGATCAAATTCAACTGTCTTCACTAGAAAGAATATTCTTGCAAATGATTGCAATCTGGAATCTGAAATGTTCTGATTTGCGGAAAACTCTAGTTTAGAAGCCTGTATTCTACCTAATATAGGTTGCTTGGGGCAGCTAGCTGTTTAGAATCCTTATGCAGGAAATATCCTTGCCCTTTCCCCTACTTGTACTGTTTTAGAAGCTCCTATTTTTCTTTAAAAATAGGCATGCATGTCATGAGGTGCTGGTGACTTTGCTTTATGATTTTTATACGCTTATCTTTTTCGAAACCAAGGTTCTCTTTACAAGCAAAAGATCAAGGTTAAGGTACTTGTTCAAACTTGTTCCTGCTGACATGGGACCCCGTCGTCTAAGCGCCAGGCCCTGGGGCTGTAGAATTGTGTAAAGGTGGCACTCGGTTTTGCTTCTGGAGAAGAAAGATGGGCCCTGTAGCCCTTAAGATGTCATCTCTAGTGGAAGCAAATGGTATCAAAACAATGTGATGGGTTATAAAAGAAGAACAAGCGGGGAAAATAGAAGTTGCTTCCACCTACCAACATGAATGAAGTAAACTACATGTGGTTTGTGTCCGAAATAAAACCGTATGGGCATAGCCTGACGGCTGAGACTTGGGTTGTTCAGGATTTCAGCGCAATGAGTGGGTGGGTCAATCTGCAAACAGAGAACACACCAGGCTTCTATTTTGTCATATGCACACACTTTGAGCTCTGCAGCCACCAGGAAGCATCCTGGTTTCCTCGTAAGCTTTACTTTCTACCATCAATACCATGAATTTGGTTAGTTGAGTTTGTCAATAAATTTATTGTATTTGGTCAATATGTGCTCTTATATTCATTATGGTGACCCTTAATGAATCAGTTAGCTTGATTTTCCATCAAGGTGTACTTTCTTTATGTATATGCTGTGTCATTGAATTGTCTTCATTGCGCAATTATTTCCTTGATTCTTTGTCTATGGACGATTGAGAATGGACTTCCCTAAAATTCGACTTTCCATAAAAAAAAAAATTAAATTCTCTGCTTCTTCCGAATGAATGAGAACGTTTCGTAACTTGGAATGGATTAGTTGGGAGGAGATACGACTTTACTCTTTTTGGCTTTCAGATTGTGAATTTCATATTATGAAAACGATTTCTATATGGAAAGAAGAAAGAAACATTTTTGTTTTTGAAAGTTTATTAGTTGAACTTCTACCTAAATAGGAATATTCGGATTTTTTTTTTCAATTATATAAAAAAAAAAAAACACTCTAAAAAAGCCAGTAATTCCCAGCTTCTTGTCTTTGCTCGTCTACCCACTCGTATTGTCTGACTTTTAATAATGGAGTTAAAAACATGCCCGCCGCCAGTTTTACCAGATAATTACAGAGGCCAAGATCGCAGCATGCTTTGAGAATAATTATGATATGAGCTTCATAGCAATGAAGATTGCCTCCACTACTTTTCAAAGGGTATATAAGCCTGAACTATTACTGTTGCAACCAGGAATCACAGTACGCCATGTCTTGATCATCAATTCATCATCATCGGCTTGAGCATTTTCCCGCCTTAATTTTTCCCTCTGAATTTGAGTTGGTCAATATTGTACTACCTAGTCTTTGCCTTTAACAAGTGTTCTACGCTAGTGTACTTTGTTTTCTAGATTTTCTTCTTCTGTTTTTTTTACCCGGCAATAATCCGTATGTTTCTTTTCTATAGAAAACAATCAACATGTTTTGAAATCCCTGGACTAACAAAACATGATAAATCCTAAAAATCAAGCCCACCTGATTCTGTTACGTGATTGCTTGCAACTTTTTCATTAATTTATTATTCTCACTGTTGTTTTTACTTGTCATTTGATGTTTTCCCGGGTTTCAAAGTAATACTAAAGTTGCAAGATGGCTGGCATGTTACATGCTTGTTCAAGTATTCCACCAGCTGGATGGATTAATTTGCTAGTGCCTTCCACACCTGCTTCTCCACCATGACATGACCGCACATTATTAGGATTTAGGACCAATTCCCTCTTTCTTCCAACACTGGGGAGTTTTCACCCCTAGATTCTTCTCGATTCCTGAAAGCCCGACTAAATAGAATTTCCATTGGGTAAAAGAAGTTGCTATTTCTCATAATTAGATTAGATATAAACTAGTGCATAAAATAATGAATTGAAGTTGCTATTTCTCGTTTCAGGTATGCCAAACTGGTGCAACCCACATCAAGATTCTCTATATATAATGGTTTCCAGGATTATATTTGGACAACAAGAGAAACTTCAAAAGAAAGAGGCCTGAGTTTGAAATGTCGCTGGAGCAGGTGGGAAAAGCCTTGCATATATATCAGCTAAAAGAGTGCTACAACTGTCTTTCTTTCGTTCACAGTGAGCTTTGCATCAATTATTCGATTGAGTGGTAGAAACACATTAGGCCTTGAATATAATTTGTAGCTGAAATCTTAATCAACTTATAAATTACTAATATATTGATTCATGTTGCCTTAGTCAATCTTGGCATTCTTCGTGGTTTTCTTTAAGATATTTAAAAAGCATTTGGAGTTGTCCAGAAGAGAAGCAAGATTAGATTGGATGGAAACAGGAATTTTGGGGGGTGGCTGATGGTAGGGGCCACCCTTTTGATCCTCTAGCAAAGCAGGGGATAAATGAATTGAAACGAGCTGAAATCAATCAATCGACCAACCCACCCACCTAGCCACCATAATCCAATCTCCTCCAAAATGGCCTCAGTTTATTCCACATGTTGGGATACTCAAATGCTTGATGACAGCATGCCTACCTGGAATTCTCCTCCTAAAGCAAGAAAGTAATTTGAATAGGCTGGACAAAAAATATATATATATATATATAAATAAATAAAGGAGTAGGGGATTGATTAGCATGAAAGATCTATTGGTAGACTTCTTCCCACCAATGAAATATGGAGGTAGAGACATTGAAATAACAACACAATCTAATACAGTTTCTAACCATGTCCCCAAAGCTACAAGAAGTGGGTCCAAGCAGAACAACTGTCCAACACATATGCTTTGATTATGTATACAATAATATTAGTTGATGACTTGATTCACCTGAAAACATATGCTTTTGGTATAAAATATAGGCTTTGCCTGCTCTAAGAAGATATGCCCAGATCTCTTCGAAGACCTTGATTAGTATATATGCTTACATCATTGCCCACTTCTTATATTCCTTTGTTTAGCAACTACTCTCCCTTAATATTATTCTAATCCCATTCCCAAAACATGGTCAATATAGACCGATTACACTACCCCTATTCATTTCCTTTTTTCATATATATATATATATAAAATAGAACACCTTTGTGGGTGGAGGATGATAATTGCACAGAAGCTTCATCAAGTCTCATTTCTACAGAACTCAGCATTGTTTATGCATTATTTGGAGACCTGTGGTGGATGGGACTGGGCACCCAGAGTCATCATATTCATATTATTTTTTTGATGAGCTACTAGCTCACTAAGGTATATTTTATGATCAGCTTGGAGAGGTAGAGCGGATTATATATTACATACATTAATCCACTGACTAATTAGTTGGTTTAATTAATTAATCTATTCTATGGATTATGGGATTTTAAGTACAGTGGGGAGAGGATATGCATCTTGCAAAGTTAGAAGCCCTTCCTACCAGGAGATTACGTCCCCTTCTTTCTTTGACTTTTGTTTTTAGAGTTAGTATTATAATAACTTTAATCCCCTCTTAAGGAATGGAATATTTGTTTTAAATGTGCAAGTGGTACCATAATTGATTGTCTTTACCCATTTAAAATGGCTAACAGACCATAGAATTCCTCGTTAAAAAAGGCACACTGAATCCTCTTTGATTGAGAAAGTTTGAAGTGTATCTACGACAAAATGCAGCAAGTGTATTTCTTTAACTTATAAATTATAAACAAAAGGAAAAATCAATATTGCATGAGACGGCTTCTCTGATCTGACTTTTCTAAACTTCCACCTTTTTTTTTTTTGGTCTGTTGACCCTCGTTTACGTTTATGCTGTTCATGATTATTATAAAACTATTCCTCTTTAAGATGCATTGCATTGTTGGAAACCATAGAATTACTATAAAAAGGAAGACAAGCCAAACAACTCTTTGTCATAGGTTCATATAGCGCTAAGCAAATTTTCTTTTAGTTTCCTCATTTCAAGTGAGATGGAAATGGATGCCTCTAGTCCTATTTCTCAGACATGCGACGGTGAAACTGGTTATTCTCCAGCTGCCTCCTGTGTCGAGAAGAAGCTTAGATTGTTTGGCTTTGAGCTTAACCCGAGTAAGAACAATGACAACTCCCTGAAAAGTTCTGGTGAAGGTGATGAAAGTGTAAACTCATCATCTGCCAGGGAGACTCCTACCAAGGAGAAAAGCTCAACAGGAGAGACTGATGACAAGAAATTCGAGTGCCAATACTGCTTCAAGGAATTCGCAAACTCACAGGCGCTTGGAGGTCATCAAAATGCTCACAAGAAAGAGAGGATGAAGAAGAAAAGGTTGCAGCTTCAAGCCAAGAGAGCCAGCATCAACTGTTACCTTCAACCTTTCCAAAACAGCCTTGGTTTCAGCTACCAAGGCTCCACTCCATGGTACTATGAGTCTTCCTGTTACAGTGCTCCTGAGTTCACTCTTTACGAGGAATCTCAAATCAGTTTCAACCAATACGAGCAAGATGCCCATCCTAATGGCTCTCAGCCACCAAAATGGTATCCTCTACCATCTCAAATGATCCCTTTTCAACAAGATTCATCCATGTTCACGCTAACACACGCTGACAGATCGAGGGAAAACAGGCCTGTTGGTCTCAAGCCTTCCTCTTTGCCTTCATCAAAGCAAAGCTGTAAATCCCTGGATCTTCAATTAGGCCTCAGCTTGCAATCTACAATACAGAGTTCCTCTGGAAGTGGTATATAGCGCATATACATAAAATCAAGGTAAAGGTAAACAGTGCCATGTCTTCTTCAATGATCATATGAATTCTTTCAACCTCTGAACAAAGCATACCAAAATTCATTACACTCGGGCTGAAGAACTTCAGCAACAGCTACACTGAAACTCAACCTATAATTCGATCATTGAGAGAGTATACAATTACGCTGCAACTCTTATCTCAATTTCGTGACGGTGAAATGTCATACATACACATGATGCTGTATTTACTCTCGACACATGTAAGGAAGCAGAGAGCTATCTAATTGCATATAGATGCCTGATCATCCTTTTCGCGCTGTCAATATTAAGAAACAACCTGGAAAACCAAGATTTTCCTTTTTGGCTCATTGTTGTCTATTTATGCACTATTTTTTGGCTTCATACTTTCTTTTTTTTTTCGGAATTTCAAAGTTAAAATTGTTCATCTTTATCTATTGACAAAACCCATCAAATTAACGTTCAGATTGCCACTATGTAGGCAAAGGCAAGCAATATTATTAGATAAGGTGCGTTGCAACCCTAATACTCCAAAAGTCAATTGCGTCTTGTATGTGGTGCGGTGAGCATTTTGATTGTAAGGTGAACAGGTTGTTGATTAATCTATGATATATTACTTGAAGTAACATACTCAAACTTGGCAAATAAACAATATGGGTTGATTTTGAACATGCACGCACATGTTTTAAGAAAAAAAATGAAGGGTTTAGGAATATAAGATTTCCAGAAAATCACTACTTGCTGTTGGAACAACATTAATTTTGAATAACTGGAACCAGTCGTCACTGGATTCATCAACAAACTTACTTGTAGATGGTTTGTTTAGGAGTGAGTTTGGCGTACGTTTGACTGATCAAACAAGTTATTGTTTAAGGGTTATATCTACTATTGAACCAACGACTAGCTGTACAACACCTTTTACTTGCCTACAAATTAACGATTTGTCGTTTAACCAGTAGACAACCTTATCCGTAAAGATTCGTAAGCTCAAAAGCTTGTCATTTTGTGTCTTGTTTTCCAAAAGTCGTTGTATAATTTTCAAAGTGTAATATTTGCTCAATTTATGAATGACTTGTCCACAGGTTGTGTTGGTTACCTTGCTCTCTCTTCTAATACTCAATCTCCCAAATTGTTTTCTCTTTTCCAAGCTTCTTGCCTTCAGGCTATGACCCTCTCCTGAATTTCTTACTACTCATTACTTGGCATCATATGTTATTTGCTTCCAATTAATAACTTGTTGATAAGTCTGACCATGCGCGCATCAACAGCTTGCGCCTTCAAATCAGAAGTTGATTATCGCAAACAATCTTTCTTGTGTTTTTTCCCTTCATCCTATTAAATTTGGTGTGGGTTTCTTGTATTGGGCTTATGATTGCAACATGTTATGACTTGACACTGGTCATTCTAGAAATGCTTGACCAAATTGATCCTGTAATCTTTGTTATTTTGTAGTAAAATTATTATGTTTTTTATTTATTTTATGCATAGAAACTTTCAGTTTTGGCTCTATATAATTCTCTCTAATTTATAAAACAAACAGATAAATCCACTCGTTGTACATGTTTAAATGGTAAAATTATAAGAAAAAAATTGAAAAAATATCTTAAATTCAAGTTATAACACTCTAGGTCTCCGTTGAAACAAGTTTTATGAGATTTTTAAATTAAAAATTTTTTATTTCAATCTTTAAAATGCCTATATATTGGATATAAAATTAATTTAATTAATTTAAAATAATCATTTATATCAATTTCACACACACACACATATATATTAAAATGAACTTAATAAAGAATGAACAACTTGAAAATGTTAAATTTAAGGCGTCATTGATACGAAATTGAATATAGATAAAATACTACTTAATAATAATAGTTAATTAAGATTTGTGATATAATACTAAAATACTTGTTTGACAGTAACCTTCTTTTATTGAATTAAAAAAAAAAAACACGAGTTTGAATGTTTCTATCGTTGTTGTTGTAATCATAATAACTGCTCTAACAAATAAATATCAGGTTGAGTATACTCTAAATATAGGGACAAAAAATTTGTCCCATTAATGAACCCAATAAAATTCTCTTCAATCTGTCAGAGGTCACAAGCATTTTGAAAGGAGATATAAGCATATAGACAAAGTAATCTTCATAACTAGTTAATACTTTAGATATTGTCATTGGCCGGCTGGTATTCTTTAAGGGAAAAAAAATCTTCGATTATTTAAAGAATTACGGACCAAATCTTATATATATATTTATATATATTATAACTTATTAAAGAACAAAGAAAATTGCCCCTGCCCTCCTTATTTTATATACTAAATCTGAATTAAGTTACGTAGCATGGGACATTAGTAATAAATGGATATGAAACTTTGAAGATAGGTGCGCCAATTAATTTAAATTTGCTGAATAAAATATATAACATCCTTAGTTAGCATTAGAGTACGTGCATCCATAATAATGAAAATTCAAAGCCTTTGATCATCATATAATAAATAAAGAAGTACATTATCCTACTCTAATGACCAAAACAGCTAATTTAATAGTAATTAAATTTGAAAATCTCTTAAATAGTCAAAAGTTTTTAGAAGCACGCTATTATTTATCAATATTTATATTTATTAAAAATAATGTTCGATTAACAGCGTAGAAGCAACAAAAGCGTTATTAGTTTAGTTTATTACCAGCTGCTAAAATTTTGTTAATTAATTAGTCTATGTATCAAGAAATGGGATACGTAAAGTAAAAAATCTACATTAAACTTTGTTCATCTCCAAATAATCTTTTTACTGAAAAAATAAAGTTTGAATTCACATATCCAAATAAATAAATAAATAAATTCTTATTTACTATACACATTGAACTTTGTCCATCTTCAAACTTGACGATAATGACATATGAGACGTGACACAATTAATATTCGTATCATTAGTAAAATGGGTTTTAATATGATGTTGAGAAAGGACAAAAAGAAATGGTAGAAGGGGGAGAGAAGTTTTTGGGCTGCGTGGTTGGGCTTGCACATGGCTTGCTTCCAGATGAAGCCTACCCGTTAGGCCTGCAAAATCAGGTTATCTTATGAAGGTCGTGGACTTGTAATCCCAATGGCGGGCCATTAGGGGTGATTCAAAGCCCGGTCTGGATTGCCTTGTTAACCCTTTTGTCAGGCAGGACCAATTTGAAAATGACGATCAACATTTTTGTTTTGTTTATTTTGTGTTTCTTTTCGGCTTTTTCTTCTTCTCCTTTGAAATCACTCTTCCTCTTCTCTATCAATCATTATAGGCCAGCTTGACATCTCCTAAAAAAACAATCACATAATATCATAATTTAATAAAACAGAGCCTTTTTTTTAAGCTAAGAAACAGAACAAAGGTTAGTATATCTTTGTCTCTCTAATGCTAGCGACAATGAATTCAGTGTATACACTACTGATTGGTTAGGTGCCAAGTCACTCTTCCTTCCGCACTCTGACAAAACCCTGGAATTTCAAGTTAAAAAAAAAACCCAAAAAGAAAAGCTAATAATAATTGAACAAGAATTTCAATGGTTATCACAATTTGGAATGGAATTTAATTTGTAGCACATCAATGATTCTATGCCAGCGTTCGACAAAGCAAAAGCCGCCAGCTTTGTATTTTCCCCATTTGTAAAATCATAAGATAATGCCCTCAACAGTTTTGCTAACACAATGTGTTGATGACAATGACATACGCTTTGATTTGAATATTAGGCACAGGCACAGGCACAGGCACAGGCACAGGCACAGTCACAGTAGTTGGATAAATCCCCCTGTTCGATGCTTCCTTTCCCGGGGTGACAAGGACTTCACACTTTCTCTGAAAGATGATGCCCATCTGTATTCGATTTCATTTCACCATAAGTCAAATTAGTCCAGAAAATTAGAGCTTTGTCTTGGACGGCCTCTTGCTGACAAGCCCTTTCGGGAAGTCCTAAAGTATGTGGAGAAGATAAGTTAGGTGACCACATATATCCCAAGAAATTGATATGATTGTCAAAATCTAACAAATAAAATATAAAAATAAAATATAAAGAAACAGCCGAAGCAGCACTCTTGGAATCCTAGATGAACAAACGCATATCAAGCAAAATTTTATTGGACAAAACTTATTTTACTACCCAACGAACAAATTGTAAACTACTAAAGAATTGATATAATATTTAAATTTTTTTTATATTATTGTAATAATTTTTATTTTTATTATATTTAATTAAATTCTCATAATTTTATTTTGAATCAAATAAATTTTTATAATTAATAGTTAATTAATTATTATTTGTTGTAACCCTAATTTAATGATAACGTAATATTGATGTAGAGAGTAAAAATGTCATATGATCATTTCATCATATCAAATTAATATGTTATCTCAAATCAACATAGTATCATTTGATATAAAATGATAAGTAATATTTTAATTAATAATAATGAATTAATTATTAATTATAAAAATTTATTTAATTTAAATAAAAATATAAAAATTCAATTAAATAAAAAAATAAAAAATTATTTAAATTTTCCATGATGAATATTGGAGCGAAGAATTGGATAAGGACTAGTTTCATATTATAGTTGACACCTAGTGATTAGAATTTGTGGTGGTCCAAGAGGTTTAATTAGAACCTCACATTCAATGCTAGCAATATAGCCAACAAAGTTGGTGATTTGAAGATAGCACTGTTTTCATTCGTCTCTAGTATTCCTTCAACTTGAGAAGGATGTTTCACCCGAAAGCCGTATGACACCTCTAGTAACTCAATATATTCCATAATTTCACACAACAATAAATGGCTATTTAAGAAGGTACACTTTTCCCTTAAAGCATGAAACAAAAATCATAATATAGGTACCAAATTTTACTACCCAACGAAATGACATGTGCATTATTAATTCAGTAAAAAGATACACATATTGTCTAATATTAATTAATAGCCAACTCCAGAAACTATTTACAGGAAAGTTTGTTTGTAGTTCTTTTTTGCATAAATTCCTTTCTTGTGTACAAATTATACTTTTAAGGGACAAAAGACACTAGTAGAAAATTTGTGCTCTTTTTACCTTTCCTACTTTATTCTATGTGTGGAATCAATCTTTAGATGCATCCCAAGCTTTTATTTATTACCCATCATTATGATCTTACCCTCACTACTAACTGAAATACAAATTTATACAATTTTATCTTCTAAATTCCAATCCTTCTAAATACGGCAGCATTTTACTGACAACTATTTTTACTATTTATAAAATTGATTTTATATAAAATTTTAATAATATATATAATTTATAATTGTGATTAAATAATAATAATGCAGCAATTGCAAGTGATCATGAAATTATATGAACAATTTTCGCCTTCTAATAATAGAGTTATTAAATGACTTATTAATACATGATGATTTTATTATCATATTCAAAATAATTGTTTCTCTTTTAAAACATGAATGTTAGGTTCTGTATCACATTATTTATAATCATCAACAAGGAATTACTATTTTTCTATATTAAAGAAAAAGAGAGAAATATGAGCGTGGGTTATATACGCTTGCTCCCTTTGGTACATGAATATTTGTCTATGAAGACAAACCCTAACCGAAATCAAAAGAAAAAGGAAATTCAGTAAATGAAAAAAATATAATTTATTTTTACCAATTATGACATCATATTTTGACTTGTGTTTTTTTCTTTTTCTCTTTTCAACCGATAAGGTTTAGGTAAAAATTTTAAATTTAAATTGAGGTAAAATACAAAAGATTGCCTTTGAGATTTAGTTGAAAATGCACTTACTTCCCGTTCGTTAGAAAAATATCTTAATACCCGTTTTGAGATTTGGTCAAATTATTTGTTTTTTTTTTTAAAAAGTAATGATTTTAATTACTAAGTTAACTCTATATGGAAAGATAAGTATATCTCTTTGTTATTTATTTTTTCAATTTCATATTTTATTTCTTTTCTTTGTCAAAACCTTTTTGTTTTAGTTACAAAATTGTGAGATTTAATTTGTTATAAATATGATTAAAAATTTTAATAAATTTTAAAATTATATTTAACTATCATCAAAATAAATTTCAATTAGATTAAATTATAATTCAGCCATGCGTTGAATATATTGAATTTTATATATTCCAATTAGGATAGACAATTATAATCCATGAGGGTTTATTAAAAATAAACTTACCCATATTATTTTGAGAAGCACTATTTATCTCTCTTGAAATTGTGGCTGCTGTTAAGGTATCATTAATCAAACTAATATTTATTTAAACTCTAAATATTAAAAATACTCTCATTTTTGTTTTTTTTTGGTGTTTTAATCAATTTCTTTATCACTAAACCATTTTTTAAAATTAGTGGTAATTAATTTGTTTTAATTAAAGATAATTTAATGCATTCATTTCAAAATTAATATATAATTGACTTAAAAATAGTGTTTTTAATATATATATATCTATGAAAATTTAATTCAATAATAATTAAAGATGATTTTAAAAGTAATCAAATATAACTGAATAAATACCATAATAATGTAGTTAAAAGAAATCTTGTGTGAAAGAAATAAGAGAAAAAACAAGAGAGAATAGAGAAATAAATAATTAACAGAAGGTAATTTTGCATTATCATTTAAATTTTTCTCAGTATAATATTTTTATTTAAAGTTAATTAATAATGAATACCATTATTTTGTTTTAAAAAAGTGAGCGTATTTATTTGCAATAAAATATGAGGAGGTAAGTCTAAAGTAAAAAATATTTGGAATGGGGCGAAAGGTGCAAAGCATGTCGAATTAATGATAAATGATAATCTCATCAAATTGTTAAGGGGGTCCCATTGATTCTGATTTGTCAAGTTGCCTTTCTAGCTTTGATTATGCCAATGAAGCTCCGGGGACTTCCCCTACCATTTGAATTGCTCTCACGAATCTTTGCTTCTTGTCGAAATCCCGCCCTTGCTACTCCCTCCAATGCACCTGATGCGCAATACGCACCCCTCCCCTCAAATCCATCGCACGTGCCATGTCTCATCAAAAGGCCAAGCGGATGCGCAATGCGCCACGGCGGGCGCTGTTTAGATAGACGCATCGAAAAGTTTATGAAAATCTTTTAACGATAACGATAGTGTAAAATTTACAAATAAAATAAAGAAAAATATTACGATTACACCTAATTTCACCTCCTATTTCTCGACCTCTTTGTTTTGTCTCTCTCTCTCTCTCCCTCTCCTCCAAAGCTGCAGCTTGGAGGTACCATGGAGTCCCCTCTTTGGCCCTTCTCTCCTCAATGCTCCTGATTTTTTTTAATTGTATTTTTAATTTTTTTCTTCCTAAACTGCTAAAATGTTAAAGTTGGTTGAAATGAGCGGGAAACGTAAGGAAAATAATTTTCTTTTCTTTTTGGAATAACGGTGAAGGCTTGGCTTTCTAGGGTTTCCGAAAGCAAACCGAAAAGAAAATTACGGTTTAGTTTGGTTTTTTTTTTTTTTTTGCTTTTTTGGTGGTGTTTGTGGAAACTGCCGGCACATCGCTCAAGTCGGAGAAAAACGACGGCATGGCGAAGCAGCTTCGGCGGATCCTATGAGGTACTTGGGGTCTCGAGGAACTCCACGGATCAGAAATTAAGACGCGTACCGGAAAATGGCTCTCAGTATGTTTATTTTTCTTTCCTGTAAATTGGAAATTTTGAAATGTTTGAATTCTTTTTCTTTTTAACGTTTTTAGTGGTTATTATCGAATAGATCAGGGTTAACTATTTAGTTTAAAGCGTCTGAGATTTTCACTAATTTGCGCATTGTTATAACTATGGTTAATTATATGATAAAGTCACATGCATACATAGAAGTGTAGTGGGAGAATAAGTATTGAGGACTTGTATTTGGAAATGGCGATTGGAGCTTTTTAAGTAACTGGGATTTGTTGGTTTGGCCCCATGCTGGTAGTATGTATGGAAGGCATTGTATCAACAGAACGTGAGTAGCAGGAGGACTTAGCCAAAAAACAGATTTGTGATGCTGGTCTTCACACATGAGATAGAATTTTTATTTTCTTTACCCCCTTCCATACAAGGGTATGTGGATGCAAGTTGGGGGGGTGTGAAGCATGATAGCACTGGCTATGAGTAACTGGTTAGATGTCAGGAAGACGGGTCCAACAACTGGTAAAATCTAGCGAAAGCACCATGAGGACAAAGGTAACTCCTGTGCCTCGGAAGGAGCTTGTTTTCACCACAAATCCAAAGAATGGATTATTTGCCCTGATGATACTTCTTTCCAGCAAGCAGTTATGAGAAATGAAAAATTTCATTTTGGGTATAAAGCATAGGGCATTGACTACTTTTAAGATAGGTGACGCATTTATTATTTCTTGTTGTATTTCTCTCTGCATTGTGCACATAAAGTTCTGGTTATACTCGTCCTTCCTTGTTCAGGTGACTTGCTATTTAGATGCTAATCTTGTGCTATTCAGGTACCATCCTGATAAGATGGAATGATCCTGTTGCAGCTGATATGTTCAAGGAGGTCACATTTTCTTATAATATCTTGTCTGATCCAGATAAAAGACGCCAGTATGACACAGCTGGTTTTGAGGTGAGATATACTTGCATGCACCATTTCTCTATGGTAATTTGAGGCTGATGGTTATCTGCAATTTTCTCACTGTTACATTTACTGTGTTGTACATGGAGGCTGTAAAGAATCTTCTTGTTCCACGCTTCCACTTGTTAACAATCCATTGTGCACCAGCAAACATGATTTTATTGAAGCACAAATTTTTTTGATCATGATGTTCTTTCCTTTGAAATAGGCTGTTGAATCAGATAACCAAGAATTGGAGCTTGATCTTTCAAGTTTGGGGGCTGTGAACACAATGTTTGCTGCACTTTTTAGGTAACGCCTTGTCTTTTTTATATTTTAATGTGTTCCACTGTTTGCTGGCCTTTATGATATGCATTGGGTATTATTTTAACTAATTCCTGTTAATAGTAAACTTGGGGTTCCAATTAAGACCACTGTATCTGCAACTGTTTTGGAGGAGGCACTTAATGGTATGATCACTATTCGTCCACTTTTGCTGGAGCAACCTGTTTCAAGGAAGGTGAGATAATTATGTTCCTGTTCTTTGTTAGTACTTTTCGTTGATTTTTTGCACTCACTAAATATGTTGCACCTTTAACAGGTTGAAAAACAATGTGCTCACTTCTACTCTGTCACAATAACAGACGCGGAAGCAAGAGATGGGTTTGTTTGCCGAGTACAATCATCTGATAAAAGCAAGTTCAAGGTGGATAAAGAATGAGTTAGATTTTGTGCATTCAATATTATCTGCATTTGCATCTTTATGTGTCACTGTGTGTATGTGTTCTTTATTTGTGCCTGTGTATGTGTTCCATCTTTTGTTGTGTTTATGCGTAATTACATGAAGTTTGCCTATTTTGATAGCTATCTGGTTTCTTTCTTTCTTTTTTTTTGGAAGAGGGGTGGGGAGGGGATGGGACTAAGTTAATGAATAGTAGCAACCGTGATTCATTTCTTTTTTGGTTAAGTGTAATAACACAATATTTGAACTATTTCCCTTTTGACCCTTTACTCTGTCTGTGTCTCTCTGTGTCTGTGTCCTTTGTGTGTGTGTGTGTGTGTGTGTGTTGTCTGCGTGCGTGAGTGCGTCCATGTGCGTGTGTGCGTGCGTGCGTGGGCGTGTGTCTGCGTGCGTCCGTGTGTGCTTGTGTCTGCGTGCATGCACGCGCGCGCATGTGTGTGTGTTAATAGTAGGTGTTTAGTAGCCATTTAGTGTGTGTGTGCGTGTTCTTTATTTGTGCCTGTCTATGTGTTCATCTTTCTTGTTGTGTTTATGCATAATCACATGAAGTTTGCCTATTTTGATAGCTATTGGTTTCTTTCTTTCTATTTTTTTTTGGAGGAGGGGGGGTGGGGGGCCAGAGTAACTTTTTGAATTGATAGCAACTGTGATTCATTTCTTTTTTGAATAAGTGTTATAACAAAAACAAAATTTGAATTATATCCCTTCTGAACCTTTAGCAATATGTGTGTGTGCGTGTGTTAGTAGTAGGTGTTAAGTAGCCTGGAATTTTTTTTTTAGTGAGAGGATATTGCTTTACTTCCCATCAGAAGATTTAAGAAAGGATCCATTCCTCCCTACAATAAAAGCAAAAGAACGAAAGGAAAATCCCCTTGGAGTATTTTGTTGGTTAGGATGTAAGAATTGATTGGATAGAGAATCATTGAATCACTTTCAAAAAGTCAAGAGTCCTTAGTCTATGTCACAGAGGATTGATACGGGAAGCTGGTGTTTAATCTCTTGTGTGGTCAATCAATAGTCCTTAGTTAAGTAAGTCACAAAGAATAGATACATGAAACCTGTATTCTTGAGAATATTATTGGGGCATATGCTTGGTTTACGTTGCTTAGAACTACCAACTTTCTTAAGATGCAATGGGCAATGGTATTGAGTTCCCATGTTCTCCTTTGAAAATATTTTGTAATACAAATATTTATACGTTACTTACTAATTGTCTGGTTTATTAGGGAAAACGAAAAGGCAAGTATAATCTTTTTACCTTTTCTGGTCCATGAATAATTACTCATTGTTTTAGTAATGGATTGGTTTTGTGCAGTTATTGTATTTTGATCAAGAAGAGAACGGTGGATTAAGCCTTGCTCTTCAGGTAATTAGCTCCCTCCTTCCCTTTTCTCTCTTTAAAGTTTTTGTTCAGTTATGTATTATTTATATTGTATAACAAGTTCTTCGGATGAGCAATCACAATTAAGTCTTCTGAACTCCGAGATTGAAAGCTCTTCCATTCTCTTTGTGTGTAGCATTTAGATTTTGAGTAACATGAACTTGCTGTATATTGATAATTCTTGAACAATTTTAAGTCTTCTCACCTCACAAAATTGGAGTAAAGCAACAGGATTTGTATACAAGAATAGTTGATTGATCAATAAGACAGGTTTCCAAAGTTCAGGTTGGTGCTTATCAAGCTGACAATAAAGAGAATTTTAGGTTTTTTTCCTTGTCATCTGCAAGAGAATTTCTGTAGAAGGCATCTTTGTTACCTTTGTGTTTATTTACCTCTTCTGTTTTATACGTTGCGTATCCCCTTTTAACACATAGTGGAGGCATGAGTAGAATTAGGTAAAATCAGTTGGGATTTGGTCACTGTACTAGATTGTCAAACTGTATTTATCTTCAGAAAGTTGCAATTCTGTCCTTTGTCTTTTTCAATTCTCACTTCATGTGTTTTTTCTTTTCCTCCTGCCTTTTGAATTCTTTCTCATCACTGTTTGGTACTTTTCATTTAGTGATAAAATGTCAATATACTTTAAGTTTGTGTGGGAAATGGCTTCAATCTTAATATGGTGATTTGTTGTGGAGATTCTGGTAGGAAAATTTCTTAATAATTTTTTATTTTAAAAAAAAAACTGAAGCCTTATTAGCATAGTTATTAAGCTCTTTTGCCTCACATCCTATCTTTCTTGTGTTTCTCTACAGCACATGTTAAAGATAATTTTGTTTCATTTTGATGTAGGAGGATAGTGCAAAAACAGGAAAGGTTACATCTGCTGGAATGTATTTTCTTGGCTTCCCTGTGTATCGCTTGGATCAAACAGTCAATTCGGTGAGTGAGTATTTTCTGAATATGGCGGTTGTGTTTCACATTGAAGTTTGATATTTTGTCATCATTGTTTATCTGGTTTTGGAAATGCCCCATTGCAGGTAGCTGCTGCAAAGGATCCGGATACAGCTTTCTTCAAAAAACTGGATGGATTTCAACCATGTGAAATAACTGAATTAAAACCAGGCACTCATGTATTTGCTGTTTACGGTTAGCTCTTTAATTGCTATGTCTGTCAGATGTCTTGTGTTTGTTGGTTATATGCATTGTTGAACCTCACTACCATTTTATAAATCTGGTACATATTTTCTAGGTGACAACTTTTTTAAAAGTGTAAGCTACACTATAGAAGCTATTTGTGCTGCCCCTTTCCTAGAGGAAAAGGAGAATCTTAGAGCCGTGGAGGCTGAGATTCTGTCCAAACGTGTGGAACTGTCAAAGTTTGAAACTGAATACAGAGAGGTATGTTCTTCCAAAAATGCAATGTCTATGCCTGTATTAAACCTTTTTTCTTGTTGATATTCATGAGAGTGTTGCAGGTCCTGGCACAATTTACGGAGATGACAAGCAGATACGCGAAGGAAATGCAAGAGGTGAGATTAACTTGTGGGAATTACATGTCTAAGCTCCATTGAGAATTGAATTCATAAGTAAATGGATAAATTTCTCAAATACAGTCTATATGTTGGTTTTGCAGATCGATGAGCTTCTCAAACAAAGGAATGAGATTCATGCCTCATACACAACTGCTCCACCAATTAAGCGAAGTTCAAGTAGGAGTAGGAGCAAGGGTGCCTCCAAAGAGGTGAAAGAAGATGGCGAAGTGAGAGAAAGAAAACATGCAATGAGGGATAGAACTAAGAAGAAGAAATGGTATAATATCCACTTAAAAGTTGACAAGAGAAAGCCGTGCTGAATAGGTAAAGTATTGCATATCATTTTCTGGGCAGCTTCCTGCCCTATGGATGAACAGTAATGAATGCTTAAACCATGTCAATTGTTGTATCAGGTTATAAAGAAGTTGGCAACATTTGGGGTCTACAAGTCATCGGTTTTTGCACCTGTAATTTATTGCAGTGGTTCAACATCTGTGCAGGCAAGTATTAGACTGCAACAGAATATGTTGATCTTTGAATGAAATGGTTAAGAAAATGTAACTACTTCTTCCGCATGCCAAGGAAGGGAAGACAGCAGCGCATTGTTATTGTAAAATTCGTTCTTTTTTTCCCCCAACCTTTTGCCTAGGTCTTATCTTGTTATTTCCCCCTTTTGTATTCCCAACCAGAATACTTGTAAATTGCAGAAAATTAATTTTCAAGATCCTCCTTCCATCAACTCTTTAAATGGGTTGTATGTTTGGGGTAATGAAATGGCAGTCTATAAGCACCTCCTAGGCCTGGTGTGTTCACTATTGCCAGAATATTGTATTAGCTGATTGATTCTAACTGATGTCTTTTAATCATGGCGGTGAAGTGATGTGCCAAAAGCAGTGATTTAGTTTTATAAAGGATTTGTTTCACGTTAATGGATTGGGTTGAGGTTGTACAGTTGCTTATTGTCTTCTTGTCATCTGGTAATCTCGTTATGAACCAGGGGGTTTGGGAGAGGTTGAGACTTTTGTTGTTTTGTTTCCAATTGATGTCAAGGACTGTTCAGTAAAGACATAAGAAAAAAAAAAAAAAATACTTGACGATGCTCTACAATTCCTTACAACATTTTGGGATTAAAATACAACAGTGACGGTGGCAACTATAAGCCAAGGAACAAAAAGAATCTTTGATCCGCATTGTCTACCACCGCCTCTAGTATCTCTCATTAAGTCTCAAGAGTGTTAAATTGATCGCATCTGCGTCTTACTTCGCCTTCCCTATTCCTCTTGATTTTATAAAGGCTCAACTTCTCCATGGACCGAGCAAACGCATCAAAAAATGCTGTCTGGTTTGCAGCAAACAGGTCCACAAATGGCCTGGTCGTGTTGTCAGTGAGCATAGCCTGATCAGACAACAACAACCCCAATCCTCTTTGCAAATTCTTGAAATACATGTTGTCAAACTTTCCTGGCGTGAACACATCATTGAAAGCTGACATTTCTGGAGATTTGGTATAATTAGCGCAGAGTTTCCTCAACCCTTGTGCGAATACAGGATTATAGGCAGGGTCATACTCAGAAGTCTTGCTGAAGTTGAATATTCGATTGGCAAACTCTTTACAATGGGAGAAACCAATGGTATGTGCACCCGTAAGGGCAACCATTTCTTTGGCTGAAAACCCTTTGGCAGCGAAGAGAGCAAGAATCTCACTCATTGGTGTTGTAGTTTTAGGGATATTGCTTTCGACTATAGAGGGATCGGATTCCTTGCTGTCTTTTCTCCCCAAACGGACTTTATAGAAGGGACCGCCCACCATGACAACAAGGTCTCTAGCAGAAACCGCGAGAATGTCAGAGCACGAAACGACACCGGGGCATTCAAGCTCGAGGGCGGTCTTGGCACGAACGATCAGGTCAAAGGCATCTCCAGCGAGGGACTGGTTATATCTGCGGCTAGCTCCGATTTGTTAAAGGCATTGGAGGCAATGAGAAGGGAGGCGTCACAGCCATTGACAAAGCAGTCGTGAAAAAGACACGGAGGATGGCAGCGGCGGTTGTGGGGGCACTCAGTTGCTTGTCAGCAATGATTCTTTGCATTACGTTATGAAACTGAGGGCAGGTTTTGTTATAATACTCGGTGGATAGACGAGATTGTGCTGAGGGAAGAAGCGAGAGGAAAGAAAAGAGGGCGGCTAGAAGAAAGGAATTAGGGAAGGCCATATTGTTTTAGAGAGACTGGAAAATGTTGTTTGTTTGAGGCGTGGGACAATATGTCAAGGGAATTAAGTTGTTGGCTTGTAGAAAAATGGAGGGTTGGGGAAGGATAGGGGAAGAGAAAAAGAATTGTGGAAGAGAGGGTTTTTTGGAGGAGAAAATGGTTGATAAGTTGGGAGGGGAAGAGAGGGGGTTCTGTATTTGGGTTGCAATTGCATGCCGATGGTTGGACTAGTGCAAGACCAACGAGCGGTGACCAGGGGACTCAGGACCCGAATTTCTCTCCCCAAACCATGGAAACTAACATATTACGATGCCCAAGGGCGAGGCCGAGGCTGAGGCTGCCAAATTAGTATATCAAAAACACACAAGGGTGTTTGTTGCCCTTCACAAAACAAACAGATAACAGAGGTTCAATGCCTATATATAAAGCAATAACATAACTCACCTAATGCTTCAACCACAAAATCGCAAGATAATTCCAACTCTTTTGCTCACTGTTCATGAAGCCATCATCGACGTCTGAAGGAAGGAATAGACATATTTTCAACACGTTGAACTTTGTCATCCCCATTTCATTGTTGTAAGACAGATCAACAATAGGGGACGAAATACACATATTGTGGCAGACGCTATACAGGGATCAGACGAAGCAAAAATAGGCTTGTCAAGATCATAATCAAAAACAACAAAAAAATTAACTCAAAGAACTGAACCCTATTCATTGCCCCCCAAATCAGAAAAAAAAAAAATACTAGATGATAAAGCAACATGTTTGGAATATAAAGTGTCCTGCTTTCATGTTGCATCATTATTTCTTGAGGACTAGAAAAAGGAAGATAGAGGGAAGACATCTTCTACCTTTCTCGAAACAAGTCCGATATCAATTGAAAAGTTAACACTAGAATACACATAAATATCACAATGATGCACCAATATTATATGATGAGAAACATCATTCCCTCGCCACATAGCATCGAGAAGTTCGGTAACTTATTTATCACTTAAAAACCAATTTCATGGGATGGATTCTTCCACACATGACACACCTCAAACAATAACTTGAACATACACACACACACACATATATATATTTGAAACAGTAAAAGGTAATCCATACAGTTCATATCATAAAATCAAAACAAGTTATACCTTAACAAATATAAAAATTTAAAATAATAATAATAAAATCTCATAACACAGAATAAAAATATAGTAAGTGGCAAAAGAAAATAGAGATCATCAAAAGAAAAACAAAGAACGAAACTAAACAAATAAAAGGATAACATGAAGCTATCATAATAGCACCATACACCTAAATGTGTAACACCTTAAATATGAAGAAAGTAAGGCAAAAAAAGAAGAAGAAGAAAACAAGCCTTGTTCACTGAAGAGTCAAAGAGTACCATTGTAGCTTGAAAAAGACAAGATATATATACACAACCAAGGGTCTCAAATTTAGGGAGTATTTATATAACTGACACATGAGAAGTATTGCATAGACATTTGAGTGAAATACAAAATGCACTTCTTATGATAGGTTATGTTTGGTGAACTTGCTTTCCTAGGCAAGTACCTATATTCTAATTCCAAGTATCTCTATACTTCAACCTATAAGATCAGTTGCTTACTTATTAAGTAAGGAACATAGAATGTACTAGTCTCTAAGTATCATTGACATCTAGTCTCAATGATACATCGACTAAGAACATTTAGAGATTATATTTTGATGTATAGAGATTTCATAACCGTAATCCATTATAATTCCCTTGCAAGGCATATTAATCTTATGAATTTCATCCAATTAGACATATAACCCATTATAATTAACATTTTATTGATTAAGAAAAACCTCTAATCATGCAATATGAATGATATTATTGCATGATTAGAATCAAGCCTTAACTAATCTCAATTGGTTGCAGGGCTCATCCCAACATCCACGCGTGTCCATTAATTTTCAAAATGGACAATGAGACCTAAAGTGTAAACACTGTTAACAGAAAATATGAAAAGATTAAAATACTCTTTTTACTTTTTCCCAATTTTTTCTCTCAAATAGTGTGGTCACCTAATGGTGCTCCCATTTGCCAGCCAACCACCCTATGGTCCTTGGGGAGCACTAGAAAAAGAGCACCCTTGACAACATCAGATCAATGCTTTTAAGGAGAAGGTGCTCCCCTCCCTTCCCTTGGGAGCACTAGATGGATGTTGCCTTTTCTTGGGGAGAGAATTGTTTTTGCAAGAGAAAAAATTTTTACAAATGAAAAATTATAATTTATATAAGAATAATTTTTAAAATTAATGAAAGGTAAAATTATCTTTTTAATATTGACAAGTCATCAAATTAATGAGAATATTAACGATTGACTAACGGCTCGACATATATGTCTAACAAAAGATATTCTTTTGGGACTGACTGTCTATTTCGCAAACTAATAAACCTATGTAGAATTATTATTAAAAGTTAGGGAGTGAGAGTATTTTACCTTATACTTTTTAGCTATCACTTTCTTTAGCAAGCATAGTAAGATAACTATTTGTTTGTTTAGGTGTACTTTACAAGGAACATGACACAAAATAAGTACTCAAATAAAGCATATAAAGAGGAAGTTCTATTTTCCTTTATGATTTGGCTTAAAATTTTGAAACTAAGTATTGCTTTTGTTGACTCCATATGTTTTTGATGATAATAAAACATTCCTTATTCATTGATGTCTAGCTACATTACTTACGTGTGCAGGATAAAGTTTAATTCCAATAATAAATTTGATTTTTAAATGTAAGTCATATGGAAGATGAGTTAATCAGTTAAAAAAGCAAAGAAGAAATGACTTAGTGAAAACATAATGTTTTTAACTGATTAACATGAAACCTTAATCAATTAAGGTAGCATTAGGCACTACACCAAAGTGAGAAAGAAAAGCCTTAATCAGTTAGCTTGAAGCTTAATTGATTAGAAAGGTACTAAGTGCAAAACAGAAGCTTATTACTTGGTTAACTAAAAGGGATAATTGGTTAAAGCTCAAACTTGAAGTACCTAGAAGCGCCAAAATTCAAATTCAAAATGATAATGATCGTTAAAGGGCGTCAAACGAAGAAATTCAAATTTAAAGAATTATTAATCAGTTGAAGCCTATTTTAGTTAGTTAAGGATGAAGGAAGAGAAGCTTCGATCAATTAAGAGGAGCATCAATCAGTTGGAAGAAGGTTGGCTAAAAATAGTGCTCGAAGATGTCCCAAAACAAAAAGTTTTTAATCAATTAAAGCTACCATTAACTGGTTAACACAGTGAAGAGAATTGCCAAACATTGCAAGTCAGAGAAGGCAAAATCAGGTAAAGCCTATCTTTAACTAGTTAACGAAGCATTGTTTGCACATTTGAATTTAAGCACTAGAAGACAAAATGAAGACTAGAATAGCATCAGAACTATTTCCAATGATCAGAATCTGCCTCTAAAGGCCAGAAATTGTCTCTCAAGTAAAAAAGCCTTTCTGACGATCAAAAATAGAAGAGAGAAGTTCCAAAGAGTTTAAGAGAGCCAAAAAGAGAAAAAACCTTCTCTGATACACTTGTTTTTCACTCTCATTCTTTGTAAAGTGTTTGAGTTTGAACTCATACATCTTAAATCATCTAGGTGATTAATTGTACTCCATATTTGCTTTGTTTCTTGATTAATTAAAGAGTGTGAGGCACTCTAATTGTTGTTGTAAGGGTTTAGAGCTTGGGTTAGAAGCTCTTCTTGTCAAAACTTGGTAAAAATTGTTAATTCCATTAGTTATAGTGAAATTGGGTTAAAATTTCATGATTGAGAAGATCAAGGTAGTGGATGTAGGTTAAGTAGATCAACCATTATAAATATTGTGTTTTATCCACTTCTTTTAATCTCTCATTACATGGTGCTCACTAACCTCAACAAGCTTTAAGCTATCCATCTTAAATCTTCTAAGCAGTTTCATCTTCCAAAGAATTACTTTCAAAATATTTTTAAGTGCTATTAACCTCTCCTTTAGCATTCTTTTTGGGACCAACGGCCTTCACGGGGAGGAAAGGATTTTAGATGTCGAATTTGGCTTTTGAACTACAAAAAGGTACAAAAAAGAATTGGAGGAAAGTAATTTTTGCCTTGATAATTTAGAGGGCTAAAAGACAGCAAGTGATGTGAGACACATTAGACATTGATGCAAGGCCCACTAGTTTTGTAATTTTCTTGCCTTGTGGCTTGTAGTTGTAGTTGTAGGAGGGTAGTGCCATTTTACCAAAAAAAAAAAAAAAGAATTGTACCTAATACTAACTGAAAAGACTCTTGAAACGTGAACCCTGTGTATATCTAATGTGAAAGGATGAAGGTTTTCCACATGATTTTATAGGATGGATCATCTACAAATATCAAACCTCCCTATACTTTTATGGGATAATTACTTAATTTGTTGAGAAAATTTAATAGATGACAAGGACAGATGGTTTTAGGAAGTAGATTTCTTTTTATTTGTGGGCAAGAAAAGATGGTTATTACCTTTTGTTGTATAACTTGAAAGAAGCACAGTGTGGGTTAACTTTTGACTTAATATTGATCTAGTCTAGATTAATGGGAGACGAATTTGAGGAATTAAAAAACGTGGACAATGTGAAAAACATATTCGATGGCTAGTGATGCAAGGGCCACCGTAAATGGCAGTTGCTTTCCACCAGGATAATACCATTTTGCCAAATCAAAGTTGCTCTATTAGGCTACAGCTTATCAATCATAAGCCGCTCTAAATCTGATCAACAGGATTCTGTTATTGGACTCATTGGTGTCAATGGACTGATGGATCCGTTACCAAAATTCTCATTGGAATTGATCAAGAATCCTGCAATTGTGTTTTCATGTCAAACGAAATGTGATGCATAAGACCAGAAACAGCACGACAAATAATAATAATTAATTAAGAAAAGTCAAGAGAGAAAAAGTCCATTATAAAAAATAAAAAGAGAGAGAGAGAGAGAGAGAGTCCATATAAAAATCTTAACCACCCGCACCGTTTGTATCACTTGAACCAACTTGGCCTTTGGCCATGGCCCTGGACATCCTACAACACATCTTCTTAATCTCCATAATTCTGTCTCCCTTCTTCTTCTCTTTAGTATTCCAAGTTTCTTGCCATGAAGAGCACTGCTTCGATTCTTCAAGTAGTCCAACAGCTTGTCCCAACGTGTCAGTCAAAGACCGGATACTTAGGCTCGCATATGATGAAGAAACAGTGGATTGGATGAAGCAGATAAGGAGGAAAATACACGAACACCCTGAACTTGCTTTCGAAGAAGTTAAGACGAGTGAGCTTATTAGGCATGAACTTGATCATCTTGGGGTTGCTTATCGGTGGCCTGTGGCTAGAACTGGTGTTGTGGCTACAGTTGGGTCTGGTTTTCCACCTTTTGTTGCTTTGAGAGCTGATATGGATGCTCTGCCGATTCAGGTCAATTTTCTTTCTTTTCATTTCTGTCCCCCTTGCTTTAAATGGAGAAAGAAAACTGAAGAGAGGAAATTGAAATATTTTTACCGTGTACTGGATTAAATTATGTAGCTACAGGACAGGGTATTGATTTCTTGAGCGCTGTTACATTGATGTAAGATGTATTCAATAATCAATAGGATTGGAGCATCTACAGTTGAAAAAGAAATTCAGATGTGAAACAGACAAATGATTCTTTCCTTTTTATTGCCCTGTTTTAAGTAAAGGGGAGACCATTGAAAAGTTTACTAATCATAGAAAGAAAATAGTACTTTCTTTTATGATATGGTCACTGGTAACAGTATTTTTTTTTTATTGAATTCAGCTGGCTATTTTATATAAAATTCAGAGCAAAATATTTCCATGATAATGAATTATGGGAAGAAGTCAACTGAAAGTGCTGTCTACATTTGGCTCCTATTTGCACAGAAAGAAAAGGCGGTGGGTTTTAATGTTTCTACAAGATCAGATATAAGGAAAATTCAACTGTTTTATAGATTTAATTTGCCATGGAGTAGAGGAAAAAGAATTAAACCTTGTGCTGGACATGTTTTCAGCTTTAATAGATTGCATAAAGCAAATGACTGAAGGAACTGGTTGAGTTTGAGAAATATGACCGTCTTTCAAGACTGTCAGGCCCTGCCCCAAAGGAAAAAAAAGAAGAAGAAATTGAAAAGTTTATTAAATATTCATTGGAATGTCATGTAGTCTGCATCTTTAATATGCAGGAATTGGTAGAATGGGAGCATAAAAGCAGAGTAGATGGCAAAATGCATGCCTGTGGTCACGATGCCCATGTTGCTATGCTGCTTGGAGCTGCAAAGATTCTGCAAAAGCTGCGATGCACGTTACAGGTGAAGCCTAAAGCATTTGTCAATTGGTTTTAGGATATAAATTCTTCACTTCGATTATTAGAAACTAAATTTGATTTTTGCAATAGGGAACTGTGGTTCTTATATTTCAACCGGCTGAGGAACGGGGTGAAGGAGCAAAAGACATGATCAAAGAGTCGGTGCTTGAAAATGTAGAGGCCATTTTTGGGTTGCATATAGTGCCTGAATATCCCCTTGGTGTTGTTGCCACACGACCTAGAGAGTTTCTAGCAGGGTGTGGGAGCTTCAAAGCCACAATTAGTGGAAAAGGAGGTCATGCTGCAGTTCCCCAACAAACCATTGATCCGATTTTGGCAGCTTCAACAGCGGTAATAAGTTTACAGAATATAATTTCAAGGGAAACAGACCCTTTAGATTCTAAGGTAAAGTTATTTCCACTTTCAAATAATGTCAAGGTCTTTATCAGCTAAATCAGGTCATTCGATCATGCAATTTTCATTTCCTTGGATGTTGGATTTAATGTAATTATGTATTTATGTCACAATTTTCAGAGTATTGAATATTGCAGGTGGTCTCAGTAGCCATGATTCATGGTGGAACTGCATTCAATGTGATCCCGGACTCAACAACAATAGCAGGAACTTTCAGAGCTTTCAGCAAGAAGAGCTTCAATGCACTTAGGGACAGAATAGAAGAGGTGACTATTTATCTCCTAGTTTTCAAATGACTAATGGGACTAAGAAATGGAATGTGAATTTCATCGCTGGAGAACAATCAGTAGGCCTACATTTCTAAGGGAAATAAAATGGTAGCCCGACCAGAACATAGCATATTAGATATTATTTATTAAGATGATTTTTTATATTAGTATTCATGAATATCCAACTTCTTGTACAAGGTAATCAAAGCACAGGCAGCTGTGCATCGGTGCTCTGCGAAGATTGACTTCTCAGGAAAGGAACACCCGACAATTCCTCCAACTGTGAATGATGAAAAAGTTCATGAACATGTAATGCGTCTGTCCAGGGAGATAGTAGGAGAAGAAAACACAAAACTGGCTCCTACTTTCATGGGGAGTGAAGACTTTGCTTTCTACTTGGACAAGGTTCCTGGATCGTTCCTATTCCTAGGCATTAACAACGAGAAAACTGGAGCCATACATCCTCCACATAGTCCCTATTACACCATCGATGAGGATGTGTTTCCCATTGGGGCAGCAATTCATGCAGCATTTGCACATTCATATCTTTCGAATTCTACAAGAAGTTCAATTTGATTATTCTTATTGCTAAATTGTTTTATTACTGATCACTATATTCCTTCTCTATTGTTCATATATTATCAACGTGTTTGATTGGGTAAATTATAAATTTAGAATCCAAACTTTATTGAAATTGTTCATTAGGTATTTGACGAAAAGAAAATTACACTTAGGTACTCCAACCTCAATTCGGTAAAGGAGATCAGCATGGCCTAAAGGTCCAATGTAGGTATCCGCCTTGCGCCTCCCTCAAGTTGGTGGAGAGTGAACCCTTATACAATTTAACAATAAGTTGAATGTTCAGCATTAAGTCCCTTGGTTAACAAATTTGCTAGTTGATTATGTGAGGGAACAAAATTAAGAGCTAGGATCTTTTGTTGAACGTGTTCTTTGATAAAATGACAATCAAGTTTGATATGTTTAATTCATTCATGAAGACTAGATTGGGTGCAATGTGTATGGCTGACTTGTTATCACAGAATAGAGGAATAAGTTCTGTAATAAAAAAGGACATATCTTTTAAAACATTGCGTAACCAAACCAGTTCTGTTGTCATTGCCATTGCTCAATATTCAGACTTAGCTAATGATCCAGATACCATTTGTTGTTTCTTTGATTTCCAGCTAATGAGAGTGTCTCTCAGAAAAATAAGTATTCTTGAAACTGAACACCTAGTAGTCAAACAAGTAGCCCAATTTGAGTCATAGGATGCCTTTAACTCAAGTGAGTTCATATTGGAACAAAAAAGACCATGGTTATGAGATTTCTTGATATATCGAACCAATTTTTTTCCATAGCAAGATCAGGAGCTCTTGGTGCTTGCATGAATTGGCTTAAGACTTGTACAGCATAAGAGATGTTCAGTCAAGTCACTATCAAATGGATTAATCTCCCCACGAGCCTCCAATATGTAGTCACATCCTTAAGGAAGTCCTCTATCTCACTAGATAAATTGTGTTGTTGTGGAATTGGCTATTTGCACCACTTTTCCACTTTCGAGACTTGCTTCTTTGACAATACCTCCTACATACTTATGCCAGTTCACATAGATTCCATCTTGATTCCTTTTAATCTTTAACTTCAAAAATAATGCAAGGTTCCAAAGTTTTTTATTTTGAAACAAGTTTGGAAATATTTTTTAAATTGTTTACTTTTATCTCCATTATTCCCAGCAAGTATAAGATCATCCATGTAGATTAATATTGCCAAGAAATTGTCCTTATCTAAAAGTGTAAATAGTGAGTAATCCAATGGACTTTGTTTAAACCATAATTGAGAAAAGAAGTGGAAAGTTTTCCAAACCATGGTTGTGGTGCTTGTTTGAGTCCATACAAGGACTTATGTAGCTTGCAAACTAGAGAATCATTAGGAACATCCATAACTTGAGGATGTTTCATGAATACTTATTCATTGAGTTCCCCATATAAGAAAGCATTATCAACATCCATGTGATGTAGTTCCCATCTTTTAATTGCTGAAATAACCAACAAGGATCGCATTGTAGTGAATTTAGTTGCTAGAGAAAATGTTTCATTATAGTCGAGTCCCTCCATTTGACTATAAACCTTCGCAACTAATTGAGCTTTATACCTCTTAATTGTTCCATCAGCTTTTTGTTTAATTTTGAATACCCATTTGCTTCTAATTGCCTTTTTTTCTTTTGGTAAGGCAACTACGCTCCATTTGTTGTCTGAAAGATGAGCTTTTAGCTCTTTATTCATTACTTCTTTCCATATTGAATTTTTGACAACATTCTAATAAATATCTGACTTAAGATTCATTTCTTCCAATCCTACATTATTAGTAGAAGATACTACGGGATTTTTAGAAAAGAATGAATTTTGAGAATCTTTACCATACAATTGGTTGATAAGAGTGCTATACTCGGTTAAGGGTCTATAATGTTCTTGCAAGTCATTACATAATCTTCAAATCTTTGTGGCATTCTTTTTTCCTTTATGGCCTTGAGTTCTCAACTATCATTTCTCTTTCAAGTGCTTCATTTTCTATTTCAAAATCAGATTCTCTTATGTTTTCTTCCTTTATACCGATTGAGTCTTCTACATCTTCAGGATGATTTTGTGCATGTTTTGGGTTTTCAAGTTCAATTACAGTGTTTGATGATTCCATTTTTGTTGTTTATGAAAGTTGTACAATTTTAAAGGGAAAAGAATCCTCATAAAATATGACGTCTCGAGATTTGAAAAACTTTCTAGTATTGAGTTCCATCACCTTATAGCCCTTCTTTCCCAAAACATAGCCTAAGAAGACATTTTTTGGATCTTGCAGCAAACTTATCATTTGGCTTAGGTTCTACATAGACATAAAATAAACATTTAAACACTCCAAGATGATCATATAAGGGTTTTTCTTTAAATGAAGCCTAATATAGGGATTTTCCATCAAGTATTGGTGTGGGTGGGATATTTATCAAGAATGCTACTGTCATTACACGTTCTCTTTAATATCTTAAAGGTAGATTGGCCTAAAAATCAAAAGCTCTTGCAACTTCCAATATATACATGTGATTTTTTTCCACCGCCCTATTTTGTTGAGGGGTGTGTGCAGCTAGTTTGATGTAGAATTCCTTTTTCTAGAAGATGTCTCTTGAAATCTCCATTTTGACCTTCTGGGCATTATCTGATCAGATTGATTTCACTTGCACACCAAAGTGAGTTTGCACCATTTTCAAAGACTGATCAAACAAAGATGGAGCTTCACTTTTAATTTTCATTGAGTAAACCTAAGTACCTCTATAATAATCATCAAAAATAGTAAGAAAATTGTTAACTCTAGTATGTGTGCTAGTCTCATATGGTCCCTAAGTATTAACATGAACTAATTCAAATAAGTTTCTTGATTTATTTCTAGTAATATGAAATGATAATTAAGTTTGTCTAGTCATGTGACATGCATCATATGGGAAAAGACTTTTATTTTGAAATGAAACATCAAATAAACCTTTCAATTTAGAAAATGGGATATGTCCCAACCTCCTATGTAGCAATTCTGGTTGATTCTTCAATCTGACGGCATTTGCCTAAATTCTACCTACTCCGATCAGCTTCTTAGTGGCAAGGTCTTGTAAAATGCATCCATTTTGAAAAAATGTTTCTAAACAATTTAAATCTCGAGTAATTTTACTAATTGAAGCTAAATTGCAAGTGCAATTTGGTAAGAAAAGAACATTTTTTGAAAAAAAAAAAATACTGGGATTTAGTTGAAAATCTCCAACACAATCTACGTGTGACTTTCTTCCATCTGGTAGTGTAACTTCCATAGTAGATTTTTCTTGAATTTTTCACTTGAACAACTTTGAAGTTGAAACAACATGATCAAATGCCCTATTATCCAAAATCTAATTTTAAGAACAAAAAATTTTACCAACACAGTTGACAATGGGAGTTCATTATTTATATCTATCAGGTATTGCCATTTGTTGATCAAATTAAGTTTGAGATAACACTGTTGGATTTAGAACAATATGCTGTTGATTTACTTGTTGTTGGGAAAGCATGCCCTTATTTTTTTTTGTTTTTGTGAGTGTTGCATTGATGACTGTATTTGCTTGAAAGCCCTTTTTTTTTCTTCCCCTACCAATTTGGTGGATATGCTATAAACTTAAAATAGTTTTCTTTTATATGACTTGTCTTCTTATAGTGTTCACATTTTGACCTCTTGTTTGGATCTCAGTTCCTCTCTTAAGCATATACTTTAAATGCTGCTGCCTCCACAATTGGCTTTGCCATCATCATCTTTTCTGAACTTAATAGAGAATAAATCGATATTAAAGATGGTAATGGATCCTTACAGAGAACATTTAATCTCACAACAGCATAGGGAATTTGTCAATCCCATTAGAAACTGATGCAATTTTTCTTCTTCTTTTTCCCTGACCAAGACTCCACACATACAACTCCTACATCTTCGTCCATTAGACTTGAAAAAATTTCAAGTTAATCCCAAAGTCCCTTCATTTTTGTATGGTAAATTGAGATTGTCAAATCACCTTGTCTAGTGTTGACTATTTTTCTTTTCAATTCTTGAATTTGAGGTCCACTTTCTTATGAAAACCTTTCTTCTAGATCTCTCTAGATGTCATAAGCAGTGTCATGATATGTAACACTATTATGAAACTCATCATTGAGTGAGTTTAATAACCATGCTATTACCATAGCATTGCAAGTTAGCCAATCATCCTTTTTTAGATCTCTTTCTTCTGGTTTTGGTCATTTGCCATTCACGAATACCAACTTGTATTTCGATCGTAAAGTATTGACAACAACTTTCCTCCATGTTGGATAGCTGAACCCCTTTAATGCATAGGATGCCAAAAAATCACCTAGTCTATCAGAATTGCTCAGATAATAGTAGAGTGGTTTGTTATTCATGGTTTTGGTAGAAGATCTTGCTTGGTTTTCTATTGGTTTTTCTACCATAAAAAAAATTTCACAAGAAAGAACGTTTAGGCTTTGATACCATGTAGAAAATACATAAGATCTAAGCAAAGAACTAAAAATTGCTTCATGAAAATAAAAGATTACCTAAGGGAATATTTATAATAGCCAACTAGACTTCAACATACTTGGTGAGTAAGTGAAGTAAATAGAAAATAAGGAAGCATTCTAACCCTAAACTTCCTTGGAATACAAGTAAACAAAAAGAAAATATGAAAGGATTACATAAGGAAATATTTTCCCTAAAATATTATCTCCTTGATTTGAGGGTAATCGTATATTTTGTAATAATAAACTTGATTGTAATATTTTAGAGATGATTTTGTTGTTTTATAGCTGTTTTGAAAGTTTGATACTGAAACTAAATTTTGGAGATTATGAGTGATATGAGTTTTGATTTTGAGGAGGGTGACTAATTGTAGTTAATTCCCTAAGATTTGTTGGCTTCAAGCTTGAGTTAAGTGTGCTACTGACACATCTTAATGCTCTTCTTTGTCTTTAAAGTTTGCAATTATTTATGAATTTTATTGTTAAATTTCTACTCTTTTTATTTAACTTATAAAAGATATGTGTTATATTTTGTTCATTAGTCATCGTCATACATTTTGAGTTATAAAAGACATTTGTAAAGTTGGCTCACAATTTCCATTGTACCTAT